TCGCGCGGGTAGTCGCTAACAATTAAAAAGGGATCAGACGATTGTGTAAGGAACAAACCTCTTGAGACAAAGTCCCAAAAAGGGATGTTTTATTGGCGATGACTTTACAATTGGAACTAAACAGAATGCCTCCAAGGAGCGCAAGCACACGAATACTAAAAAGAAATGTTTAAGTCTAAACTAAGAAATTGAAATTACATATTCTCTGTTTGAGAGTGTTTAATTCGAGGTCCTTTGCTCTATATCTTCTCTTCCTTTTATATTCCCTAGATGATTTCTTTGTGATCAACCGCTTAGAAACTGCTTGATTGCTTTATAACTACCCACTTTCAATATGGTGGTAAACGTGTCGTGGAACTGCCGTCTCTAACTGCTACCACTACTCTTTGTCGTTCAACCGTTTTCAACTGAATTCCTTGAATCGTGGAACGTGATAAGGTTACTCAATAACTGCTTCAATAACTGCACTTCTGGATAATCATAACATCTTATGTTTGCTAAGATCTTGGGCGATTCGAAGGTTTGGATGAGAACAGGGTCATAGCTCTGGGCGACTGTAAGGCACTTCATTCGCTCAGATCTTGGGCATCTTGTAAGTTTGGGCGATGATATTACCGTGTTCGTGGACTTCCACTGCATTCATTAATAACCTTATTTGGGCCTTTATCCTGAATTGCCCAGTTGGGCTTCATTCTTTGGGCTATTCGATTTGGGCTGCACTTTTAGCGTGTCAACAAGAATAGTGGAATTGAAGGCACTAAGAAAAAGAGACTCCTTTTTCCAATCGCCCCATGAAGAGAGCTGGAAGACGAGCGAAGAAGTCAAAAGTGCAGGAAGATAATTATCCCACTTTAAAAAACGATAAATTTGTGTTATTTATAAAGTAATGTTAATGTGCCGAATGTTAAGATCGACAAGAGACGTGCGTAAAATAAAAACAAATAAAGCCAACTTGAGTCACATCTAAAGTTGTAAAAGGAGGCCAATCCGCAATTGCTTAATCATGAAAGAATATAAAAGAAAACTTGCTGGAAGCTTAATAGACGATCTTTGCCAACTTATTCCCAGCATCTCCAAATGACCAATGGTAGAACCTTGAAAAGAAATGAAAAAGAAAATTACTTCTAACTGGAAAGATCTTGCTCATCCTAACAAATCCAGTTGGTGATTGATACCAGGGTCGGTCCTGCGGTGTTCGGGGGCCTGAGGCGAACTCCATAAGTTAGGCCCCCCAAAATCAGCGTAAATGTAAAATCCAACAGTGTATTATTATCCAACATACTGCTAACTAAGAACGAATTAAGTATTAAATTTAAGACCGGGCTAAAAAATTTCAAGCTTAACTAATACGCAAAAAAAATAATAATAATAAAATAAAAATAAAATAAAATATATTATACATATAAAACTGTTTCTACCATAAAAAAAAGGTTTTTGGGCCTGGAATTCCCTAAATCCGTCCCTACTACTAACTTAAAATTTAACAATAAAACAACAAACAAATATATTTAGAATTCTACTTCTAATACTGATAAAAAAAAAAAAGAATTCTACTTCTAATGAATTTTGGAAAATGTAAGATTATTCATATATGAGCTTTTAAAGGCTTGATCACTGTGATTTGCATTACCATGAGGGCAAAAACTACTACCACTCCAAACGCTGAAATAGAATTCTGTAGATTTCAAATTAAATAGAATAATCACTTTACCAAATAATTAATCAATGTCATAAAAAGCTGTAAATTACTAACAAACTACTAGAAAAAACTACTGAATTAAAACAAATATGAATAGATAAACATCTCAATTCATTTAAAGAAAGTATAAACCCTTGGAATATATACACATTGCCGCAGTCAAGTTGCCAGATATCAAAACTCAATGACCAACATAAATTATTTATCCACCAACCACAAATTCACAATTCTCATTTTAATAATGCCAAATTGCCAATTAATACATCCAACATAATTTTTTTTTTTGATAAGTAAACTCATCGAACATAAATTATTATTCATAACTTATAAGTCATAAATAAAAAATAACACCAAAACCCAAAAGAGAGAGAGAGAGAGAGAGAGAGAGAGAGAGAGAACAACAGAGGTTACAACATCTTTGGATTAGGCCTGGTCATTTTTTTAAGTTTTAAAAAGCAACAGCCCAATAGAAGGCCCAAGATTTAAAAAAGAAAAAATGAGATGAAAAACCATCCTGCCTTCTTCTTCGCGACGGCTTGTCTGCAACTCCAACTACAACATCTTCATTCAATTTACTTCTCCGTCTAATAGGAAAAAAAAAGGCTTCTCTGCAACTCCAACTACAACATCTTCATTCAATTTACTTCTCCATCTAATTTTAAAAAAAAAATGGCCTTGGAAATGAGGCCTCCTTCAGTTTTTGGCCATGAGGCGAAGGCCTCATCTGTCTCGCCTCAGGACTGGCCCTGATTGAGACAGTGGTACTCAAGTAAATGCAACATAGCTTATAGTGTTTTCCATTATGTTCACTCTCTGAAGAAAAAGTTAAACCACGCCGTTAACCTATTACGTCAAATACTGAAATTAGCTTAAAAAAAACAGTTAAAAATAATAAGAAAAACCAACCGAAAAAAAAAATGACAATATTGATGATAATAACAATAGTAGTCTATAATGTATTGACACGGTCACGTGTGTCTGACACGATATGCATTGGATACGCCGAAACCCGATTTTTCAAAAAGTACTGACGCCGACACGTTGATTAAATTTTTTAAAATTCTTCATTTATATAGTTTAAATTTAGTTTTATACTTGTTATTAATTTTTCTGTTTGAAATCTTTTAAATATAAATACTTATTTACTAATAACTTTGAGTTAAAAATATATAATTTTCTAAAAAATGAAAAGAAAAATGTTTACGGTAAAGTGTCCAAGAAGTGTCGATATCGACACACTACCCTAGTTGAAATATACGTACTGCAGAGAGTAGTAATAATAATAGTAGTGTAGTGCTAATAAGAAGAATGAGAAAAAAAGAATGATAGGACAAAGAAAGCATTAAGTGTCCTTACATTTCAAGGTTTTTGTGGAAAACGTTCCCACCTTTCGTTTTTTGGTAATTTCAGCCTCACCTTTACCTTTTCTTACGAAAAACATCCTTCCGTCCAATCCCTGTAAAAATGTTCTGTTAAAACAAATGAAATGGGAATTTTCTTTTCAAAAGGTAAGGGCAATATTGTCCAACCAATTTCAGAAATAGGACTTAAGGGTTTCTGACGTCAATGATATGGGTGCTAGGGACATTACAGAAGGAGATGAATATGGAAGTAGGAAAATGGAAAGAGAATTGTAGAGAGAGTGTTAGGGTGATTGAGCTTATGGAGTGCTTAGAAAGAGAAGCAGGGGGGAAGATGGAGGAAAAAGGGGCTGCTAATTATAATAGGACTATATGAGGGCCCAAATCTTTGATAGAAGTTTTAGAGTTTTCAAGTCTCTAAAAGAAAGCGCAAATGATTCTTGATTTTAATTGGCTAATTTTTGCTTTTTTTATTTTTATTTTAATTGGCCCAAATTACTTATTTTTGCTTTTTTCTCCTTGTGGATACAAGATGTTTGAAATATTGGAGTTCGTAAGAATAATGTAGAATATCCTTTGAATTTTGTATTATACTTTGTTTAAATATGTGGTTGTTCATGTAGTACAGAAATTCCTGTTCGTGTTATCTCTACTGCACTGAAATTCTTGTTGGCTCAAAATACATTGGGACGATTTTTACAATTTTTAACAAATGTAGGGATGTTTTATGCAACGCAAATTTAAAGGAAGGGTTTTTTTGCGCAAAGACAATGTAAATGCAGGGATATTTTTTGTAAAGACAATTTAAAGGTAGAAACTGTTACCGTAAGTTCAATTTCACGCTAAAATGGAATGAAAACCTGTTCATATTCATCTTCTCCATTCACAGGGTCACATTTTAATTGGTCCTCTTACTTTATCCTTTATTTACACTCTATGTAAGCACGTGTTAATTTTATTTACACTCTATGTAAGCACGTGTTAATCTTAGAGAGAAACTCCGATTCTGATTTTGTTGTACTACTTTCTAGCGTGTGAAACTATTTCTTGATTTTTAAGAAAGAAAGAATAAGAATGGAAGTGCCATGATTAAATTCAGTCTAATGCTAAAAAATCCTATGCGATTTTCCCAACAACAACAGTGACAAAGCGGCGGCTGTATTGCATCCGTTTGTAGGCACGGCTGCGGGGCTTCTTCTTCTTATCCTGCTTCATTTATAGCCAAAGCCAACAACAGCAACAATGACTTCTTCTAAACTCGAGTTGAATGGGAAAATTATGTATTTTCTGAGTTTTGTTGCCTGGTTGATTTGAGCTCCAAGTGATGGCAGGAAATAATGTGAAGGAAGGAATTGGTTGGTCAATGTTACCCTTGCCTTTTGAAAAAAAATATCCCATTTTACTTGTTTTAATAGAGCATTTTAACGATGAGTAGACGGAAGGACTTTTTTTGCAAGAAAATGTAAAGGTGTGGGTGAAATTACCAAAAAACAAAAGGTAGGGACATTATGTCCATTTATTGCAAAGTCTCACTCCACGCAATTTCTCCAGCGAACCTAGTCATTCTCATCACAGTCAACAGGCTTCTTGGGATCAAAAGCCAATTCTATTTCAAACTTTGTTGCACGGGTGCTAATGCTTGATATTAGATTCATTAATGACGTAAGCATATATAATATGAACAAAGCACAAAAAAAATACAAGTCAAGTACATTATTTGCATGGCTTATCTCTGTTACTGATCGTGATCGTAATTATTGCAAGTGCAGAACCATATTGTTTATTAAGGGATGCTGGAGTCATGCACTCTAGGCATGTTGCATACTTTTTGTGCATTTTGGGGCATCATAAAGTAATCAAAATATTGGATTATAACTATCATATCACGAAAACAGTATATGAGCAATTTCAAGCTGTGAGTTTCGAAGGACCATATCAGATCAAGGTTTAAATCAGCCATGTCATTCATTTAAAAGAAATTCAAGTCTTTCTTCCTCGTGAACATGCTTCAATACAATCAAACTCACGAAAAGCTTCCTTCTGCCAACACTTTTATTCTTTTTCACTCTAAAATTGTGAGTTCACTGCAAGGTGTAAAACAAAAACAGAACAAACAATCTTTTTTGATTCTTCAAGACTTTATCTATGTGTAGTTAGGAGTCCTTACTCTCATATAAGATCCTGGTGTTCAATGATATACTTCAGAAGTATCCTCAAAAACTGACGTGCAAAATACGTGGTTAAAAAGTACTACTTGTCGCGTATCATATTGACCACAATGCCAGCAGCTTCCCTCGTTGATACCTGACCTACAAATCCAGAGTATCATTGCCTGCAAAAAAAAGGTTAGTGTTTACTACAATAGAATTTGAATAAAACGGGAAAAGCTAATGTCTTCTCCATTCTTAGCTCTTTTCTTACATTACTTACAAGTCACAAGTTCAAACTTCAGTCATTTACCTTTACAGAGAGTTCTACATGGATTATATTTCATCATTTTGTTGATTAGCATTTAGTAGCGCCAACCAAGTAAGGTCGAAAGGTTCTCTTAAATTTCTCGTGTATCGGCCTTTTGTAGTCCACTGCCTGCCACAAATCATCCATTGCACAGATTAGCTTTTGTCAAACATGTATGCTAAATCGAGGGACATTTCAGAATACCTGCTCAAAGTCTTCTTCAAGGGTTGCCCATTTCCATTCTGAGAATTCTGGGTCTGTTGCGGCATTTGCTAAGTTGATTTCCCTTTTCATCTTTTGTATAATTTATAGAGATTATGTAAATTTCTATCAGCATCCAGTTAACACATCGCCCAGGATTCTGAAATTTTGGCAATCTTTTGAAGTTCTTGTGATACTATTTTTCTCCTCAGGCAACTGCTGAGCTATTTATATCACGATATAACTTTCTCTACTCATCATAGTTCCGATGTAATGTAGAAAAGTTCAGTAAAACTCTAGAAATAGAAGTCAAGGGCAGGAGAAACAATAGAATCAAGAAGCATCTTTGAATCATCTTTCCAGTGCTTATCCTAACCTGTCCACAAGGCCCCAACCCTGGGGGATTGGCACAGTCTATAAAGAATGAAAAAATTGTCATAATAGGTCTATGTTTACATATAAAATATTTTGGAGAGCACAAGTGGTGATTTCATAAACTATCATATTGGACAACCTCAGCAATTATTCAGCAAACACCACTCCAGTTTCCTCTCTCAATTCTCTAATTGCAGTAGATCTTGGATCCTCACCATCTTCAATCCCCCCTGCATATAGAAAATTGAAAAGCAACTGCATAAGATTGAAGAATAAGCATATTACTACACATGCGTACTAAACTAAACAGAAATACACAAAGTTCATGTATGTTTGTTAAGCACTCTGACATCCCTCCAGATTTACCAATGTGGGAGAATTTTTACTGAAAACATTTGCCATGATGAAAGTGTTAAAACATGTCAACAGATGGTGTGCAGGTACTAAAGTGAATAATAAAATAATTTGCGAACTAATTAATTTAATAGTAAGGGGTCAGACAAAGATGAGAGAGGTCCAAATTATCAAATAAACCAAAATAACCAATTCATTCCTAGAACAATTGCCAGTGATTCAGCAACAGAGAAATTAGCAAAAAAAACAAAAAAAAAAAACCCTGGCCCATTGTGTACTCGGTGGAATTCGTAGCTTTGGCTTTTCATTTTTATAAAGTTGGTAAAGAATCTCTTTGATAAATATTCTTAGGTTTACCGACAAACCAATAAATGCACCATCAGGGCTAGAAAATACGTTATCTACAGTACATAATTTGGACATGTTCTATGGAATACAATTACTTAAGATCAAGAAAACATACTGATAAGGTACCGACTGGAACCGACTGGAATTCAGATGAACGAGTTAATGACTTTTGATTGAACAATAAGAGAATTACAGGAATGAAATGACAAAAAGCCTATAGAAGGCTGTAACCGAGAATAACTTTACTATCTTCAAATATTGCCTACCTCTGGCTATTTTTCTACCATTATTTATAGCCTAACTCTAACAGATTTTCCTAACAGTAAATCCCTTCTAACGGATTTTAGTTTTCCTAGCTGGCAGTCCATCCTTCTTGGGCCTTCTAGAATAAGTAAATTGAATCGGGGGCCTATCAATACCCCCGGGTTCGTAAGACACCTTGTCCTCAAGGTAGAAATTTGGGAAGTGTTGCAGAATTGAGTCGACCGATTCCCATGAAGCATCAGAGGTTGGAAGGTCCTTCCATTGTATTAATGCTTCCTGACCTGGGGGCTGGCCTGGGGGATTTTGACGTACTCCCAGGACTTGATCGGGTTCTACCATCCATTCGAGGTTTGCATCCAGGTGGGGAGGAATTAGCTGGCAGGTTTCTACCACCCCAACTGATTTTTTTAGTTGTGACACATGGAAAACCGGATGTATTGTTGTCTCAGGGGGTAACTTCAATTGATAGGCCACGGGGCCGATGCGCGTCGTTACCTCATATGGACCAAAGTACTTAGGTCCCAATTTTTCACTCTATTTCCTGGCTAATGATCTGTGTCGATACGGCCGAAGCTTCACATAGACTAAATTTCCTACTGCAAACTGGACATCCCTCCGGTTACTATCTACAGCTGCTTTCATTTTGTCCTGAGCACGAAGGAGGTGGGACTTTAATTCCTCCAGAACAACGTCTCTGTCTTTGAGCTGCTGCTCCACTGAGTTCACGGCTGTCTTCTAGTTGCCATAGCAGATCAAGGGAGGAGGATCCCTCCCATAAATGGCTCGGAAAGGAGTTGTGTTTATTGACACATGAAAGGTTGTGTTATACCAATATTCTGCCCGAGGTAACCAAGTACTCCATGTTTTAGGCTTGTCGTAGGCGAAGCACCTCAAGTAGGCTTCCACACATCAGTTCACAAGTTCTGTTTGCCCATCGGTCTGTGGATGGTAGGCCGTGCCGGAAGAGTTCTGTCCAGAAGTGACTTAAGAACAACTTGTCTCGATCTGAAACTATAGAGCGGGAATACCATGGAGTCGCACAATTTTTTTGACAAAAACTGTTGCTACCCCAAATGCAGTGAAAGGATGTTTAAGGGGCAGGAAATGTGCATACTTGCTTAAGCGGTCTACCACCACTAGCAGCGAGTCATACCCCCCCAATTTAGGTAGTCCTTCCACAAAGTCCACCGAGATATCGTCCCAAATCTAGTGCGGAATTGGCAGGGGCTGAAGCAGTTAAGCAGGGGAGAGAGCTAAACTTTTATTTTGTTGGCATATTGGACACTCATTTACAAACTTCTTGATGTTTTTCTTCATTCTTGACCAATAAAGTTTACTGGTCACCCTTTTGTACATTCGAAGGAATCCGGAGTGGCCTCCCACTAAGCTACTGTGAAACTCTTTAAGTAGTGTAGGAATCAATGTTGAAGTATGGAGAAGCACGAGTCGTCCTTTGAAAAACAGCCTGTCTTGGTTGACTGAAAACCTTGGATGTGCATCTGGATCCTCCTGTACTTCTTTCTTGATTTTTGAGAGTAGGGGATCATTATTGACTTGCGTACTAATCTGTTGTTCGTCCATGAGTACTGGGAATGTGAGGGCTGCAAGTTCCGGTTGAATGGGGATGCGGGATAAGGCATCGGCAGCTTTATTTTTCACTCGTGGCCGATATTGTATCTCAAAGTCATAGCCCATCAGTTTGGTTACCCATCGCTGAAATTCCTCGGGATGACTCGCCGTTCCAGCAAATACTTTAGGCTGCGCTAATCAGTACGGACAACGAATTTTCTTCCCATCACATAGTGCCTCCATTTTTGAATAGTCAAGACCACTGCCATCAACTCCCTCTCATAAATGGATTTCTGCTGCGACCTTGCTGATAACACCTTACTGAAATACGCAATGGGTTGCTGGTTTTGCATGATGACTGCACCTATCCCATGTCCTGAAGCATCGGTCTCAATGATGAAAGGTTTAGAAAAATCAGGGAGAGCCAAAACTGGAACTGTGATCATTGCTAATTTCAACTTTTGGAATGCTGCCTGTGCCTTCTCATTCCAGTTGAATGCATCTGTTTTTAGTTGCTGTGTGAGCGGCCAAGAAATAGCGCCATGTCCTACAACGAACCTTCAGTAATATCCTGTTAGCCCCAAAAATCCTCGAAGATCCCTGATATTACGCGGAGTTGGCCACCCGACCATGGCTTCTACTTTAACCAAGTCTGCTGCTACTCCTGCTGCTGAAACTAAGTGACCCAGTACTCAATCTGTTGTTGGGCAAAGAAGCATTTCTTGGCATTAGCGTACAACTGGTGCATCTATGGGGCAGTAAAGACCGTGTCCAAGTGCTGTTCATGAGTCACTGAGTCTTTACTGTAGATTAAAACACCGTCGAAGAAGACTAGTACAAATTTCCTTAGGTACCTCCTGAATATGTCATTCATTAATGATTGAAATGTAGCCGGGGCGTTGGTAAGGCCGAACGGCATGACCAAAAATTCGTAATGCCCCTCGTGTGTTCTAAAAGCTGTTTTATGCACATCTTCTTTCCGCACCCGAATCTGGTGATACCCCGATTTAAGGTCTATTTTTGAAAACATGGTGGCTCCATAAAGTTCGTCCAACAGCTCGTCGATGACTGGAATGGAAAATTTATCTAGAATAGTCGCCTTATTCAGTGCCCTGTAGTCAACACAGAACAGCCAGCTGCCATCTTTCTTTTTGACGAGTAACACGGGGCTCAAAAATGGGCTAGCACTGGGTTGAATTATCCCTGCAGCCAACATCTCTCCCACTAATCTTTCGATCTCATTCTTTTGGATGTGGTGATACCAATATGGTCTGACACTAACAGGCTCTACCCCTTCCTTGAGAGGAATTGCATGGTCCAAGTTACGGGTAGGAGGTACTCCTACTGCTTCTGTGAAGACCTGCTTATATTTCTGTAAAAGTTTCAACACTTTCTCCGGTACCCCTTCCTTTTTCCTGTAGTCCTTACTCCTTGGCTCCTCCACCTCTACCAAAATCCCTTGGCCTTCATTCTGCAAGGCCTTCACCATTGCCCTAAGAGAGACCCCTGATTTATTTAGCCCCTGATCACCCTTAATTGTCATCACTGTATCACCCATTTGAAATCGCATAGTTAGCGATTTCCAGTTAACCTCCATACTTCCCAAACTGGCTAACCACTGCATTCCTAACATGTCGTCTGTACTACCTAGCTCCAAGGGTAGGAAATCCTCAATGATAGTCAATCCCTGCATTTCTAGAACGATCCCCTTGCAGATCCCCCTTCCTCTAACTGATTCCCCTGTCCCCATGACAACTCCATAATGGTTCGTGACTGTGGTAGGGAGCCCCAATTCCTGGACCAATTTTAGAGCTATAAAATTGTGAGTTGCCCCACAATCAATGAGCACAATTACCTCGCGTTTCCCAACGGCGCCCCTTAGCTTCATGGTCCCTGGAGTAGTTAAGCCCACAACCGAATTGAGCGACAACTCCACCACGTTCGCCACCTCCAATGGGTGCTCCCCAACCGGAATTTCGAAATCCGATTCACCTGCATCTTCGTTTTCTTGCACCAAAAGTACCCTTAACTCTCAATTTTTGCACTGGTGTCTAGCCGTGTATTTTTCCTCACATCTCAAGCATAACCCTTTTTCTCGCCTCATCTTCCATTCGGCGTCAATCATTCGCTTTACCGAAACTTCCCTTCTGCTCGCGATCCTTTCCTCCACTGTTACTGTCTTTGTGGGAAACGAGTCTGGCCTGGAAGTCGCTGGGTTGAGTTTATAATTCCTTGGGGCTACGGGCTCCCTTCCTTTTTTAACAATCCAGTTTCGGTCTTCAACTCTTTGGGCTATTTCCATGATTCGGCCCAGTCCTTTTGGGCCCAACAGACGGATCTCAGCTCTTATTTCAGGTTGCAGGCCATTCACAAACGTACTCTCTAACACTTCATCAAAGATCCCCTTCAACGGAGCTGCCAAGACTTCGAACGTGCGTCTGTATTCGGCTACTGTTCCGGTTTGATTTATGGCCAGAAATTTCTCACATAGACTACCCTCCTGTGTTGGTCTGAATCGGAGTATAAGTTCTTGCTTAAACTGCTGCCAATTCCGAAATGGGTTCCTCGCCTCCATCTATTGCAGCCATGACAGAGCATCTCCATCCAAGCTTTACACCGATTGCTCCCATTTTCTCCTTTTCTGTCAGCCCGTTCACATCGAAATATCTTTCTGCGCGGAATAGCCACCCGTTGGGATTCTCCCCGCTGAAAATGGGCATTTCAAGTTTTCTCACTCTTCGCCAGCCATCACCCTCCTTCTCCTGTTCCACGATCATTGTCAATCTTTCTTTACTGTTTGGTCCTAATTCTTCTGGCCATTTTCCTCAATCCATGATGCGCTGGTCCCCCACCGATCCTTGGTGTATGTTAGGAGGTATCGCCCCTCCTGTTATACTCCCAGACCCCCTCCTTCAAAGCCGTCATTCACTCCTGATTTTGAATCAAACAGTGCTGCCACAGTTTTCCTCATTTCCTCCATTCTGGGACAGTTGCTCAAATGATCTCCTAGCCCTGGAAGTCGCTGCAATTCTAGTTTCACGTCCTCCATCTCTTTCTCCATTAATTCTACTCTGCCTTCTGTTTATTTTTGAGCCATCAGAAACAACGTGCTCTGATACCAATTGATAAGGTACCAACTGGAATTCAGATAAACGAGTTAATGACTTTTGATTGAACAATAAGAGAATTACAGGAATGAAATGACAAAAAGCCTATAGAAGGCTGTAACCGAGAACAACTTTACTATCTTCAAATATTGCCTACCTCTGGCTATTTTTCTACCATGATTTATAGCCTAACTCTAACAGATTTTCCTAACAGTAAATCCCTTCCAACGGATTTTAGTTTTCCTAGCTGGCAGTCCATCCTTCTTGGGCCTTCTAGAATAAGTAAATTGAATCGGGGGCCTATCACATACTTGTCTCTAGAGAGGAAGCAACTTTGCTTTATCGACCAAATCATGCAAACGTTGAGCACTGTAAGAAAAATCATAAAATTCTGATGGAACTGACTGTGCCAATAGTCAATATAGTAATAGCTGTGGAGTAAAAATGCTTTTTGTACCAAAGATAGTTTCCAAGACGAAAGTCGAGCCTGAAGCAATGGAAATGTTAATAATGACTAATTCCATAATAGAAAAACTAAGTTATTGCAAGATATAGGACGTAAAACAAATTTAATGAATGGGAAATTTTGTGAATTACAAGACAATTTTCTTCACATGAAACAACAATAGTAAACTAAGAGCTTTCATATCCATTAAAAGCATCGACTGATTCAGTAGTTATCAATACAAAAAGGAGATAGAATCAAGAAAGCTTACTCTCATCTTTGCAATAGAAAGTGAAAGCTGAAGGAAGAAAATTATTTTCTGTATATCTTATTCTTCAAATAACTATACATCCAATTTATAATACAACCGTGTGGAAAAAAGAAGGAAAGAAATCTCCTAAATTAGGAGAGGGTAAATTACCTAATTACAGGCTACTAACTATGGTAAATAAAATAAATTACAATCTTTTAGGATTTCTACACTCCCCCTCAAGTTGGATGGTAAATGTTTACCATGTCCAACTTGCAAATGAAATCGCAGAAACTTTGTCGAGATAGTTCTTTGGTAAATATATCTGCAATCTGCTCTCTTGAAGGAACATAGGTCATGACCCCATCTTCGACATTTTCTTTAATGAAGTGTCTGTCTACTTCAACATGTTTGGTTCGATCATATTGGACTGGGTTGAGAGAAATGTTGATGGCTGCTTTGTTGTCACAATAGAGCTTGATTGGAAGTTTTACTGTAACTTGTAATTCTTCCAAGAGTTTCTTTAGCCATAGTCCTTCACATATTCATTGGGCAACTGCTCTAAATTCAGCTTCAGCGCTACTTCTTGCTACTACATTTTGTTTTTTACTCTTCCAAGTAACTAAATTTCCCCATACAAAGGTACAGTAACTTGAGGTTGATCTTCTATCGTCTGTTGAGCCTGCCCAATCTGCATCAGTGAATACTTCCAAATTCTTGTTTTCATTCTTTTTGAAGAATAATCCTTCTCCCAATGAGCCTTTTCAGTAGACCACTTCCATATGAATTTCCTTTGGTGAATGCATTTATTAAATGCATATATCAACTTTTCGAATGGTCGTTGATATCTATCCTTCTCAACTAGGTTTCCACCGTCTTCTGTTTTCCTCCCTATATCAATCGGATTGTCACACGGTTTGCATCCAAGCATGCCTGTTTCGATCAGGATATCATGAATATATTTACATTGTGATACACTAATACCCTTTTTTGCTCTTGCCACTTCCAGTCCTAGAAAATATCGCATCTATCCCAGGTCTTTTACTTCAAATTCCGTTACTAGACTTCTCTTGAGTCTTTCCATCTCAATTGTATCATCTCCCGTAAGGACTATATCATCCACGTATACAATTAAAATGGTCTTCTTTCCATTTTCTGAATGTTTGGAGAACCTGGTATGGTCTGATTGTCCTTGTCAATAACCTTGACCTTTTAGTACATTAGCAAATCTATCAAACCATGCTCTTGGAGATTGTTTGAGACCATACAATGATTTTTTTAGTTTGCAGACCCGGTTTTCCTCATTCATTTTACAAAACCCTGGTGGTAAAGTCATGAATACCTCTTCTTCTAGTTTTCCATTAAGAAATGCATTTTTAATGTCCATTTGCTGAAGAGGCTAGTCCAAGTTAGCTGCCAAAGACAATAGGACCGGAATTGTGTTTAACTTTGCCACTAGTGCAAAAGTTTCTGTGTAGTTAATGCCATATGTTTGTGTGTAGCATTTCACAACAAAACGAGCTTTATATCGATCTATTGTTCCATCAGCTTTATATTTCACATGAAAGACCCACTTGCAACCTACTGGTTTCTTTCCTCTTGGCAAATTCATCACTTCCCATGTATCATTTTTTTCTAAGGCTCGCATTTCCTCCATCGTTGCTTCCATCCACTAGGGTACTTTCAAAGCTTCATGAATACTCTTTGAAATTGTTGTACTGTCAAGATTAGATGTAAAAGTACGAAATTCTGTAGATAGAACATTATAAGATATGAATTTTGAAATAGGGTGAAGAGTACTTGACGGAGTTTGTTTTCTAAGTGGGATAGGTAGATCTATATCTCAAGGACGGTTTTGAGCTATCATCGGTTCCAATTCTCTTAATGCTTCAGATGTGAGATTTTCCTTTGATTTTGGCCTCCTTGAGTAAACTAACATCTTCCCGTCATTTCCTTTTTCTATGTTTCCTACTGAGTTCAAGTTTTCTTCTATATATGGCATATTAGAACGGGATGGTGTGACAGTAGGTTCAGTCTTAGAACAGGATGGCATGACGGCGTGTTCAGTGGTTTTTGTGGGCCCAGATGGAATGTCAAATTCTAGGAATCGTAAAAGAAGTTCTTCACTTACATTCTCCCCCTGAAGAGAGGGCTTTTGGAAATAAGGAGTTTTCTCAAAAAATGTAACATCAAGGCTAACAAATGTTTTCTTTGTTAAGGGATCATATTATTTATAGTCCTTTTGAGTGGGTGCATATCCAATAAGAACACACTTTATAGCACGAGGATCAAATTTGCTTCGAAGATGAGAAAGAACGTGAACGAAAGCACCCAAATACTTTTAGAGCTATGTAGGAGAGCAAGCGAGAAGTGGGAAAAAATTGTTGAAGTCTTTTGATAGATGACACAAAGGAAAGGGTACGGCTTGGCATTCGATTGATAAGATAAGTTGTTGTTAAGATGGCATCTCCCCATAATATTTTTGGCATACTTGTAGTAAACATTAGGCACGAGCAACCTCAACAACGTGTCTGTTTTACGTTTGGCAATCACATTCTGTTGAGGGGTGTCAACACGTGAACGTTGGTGGACTATCCCGTGTGTTTGTAGATAATCTTGTAGAGTGGTGTTGAAATATTCATTACCATTATCAGTGCGCAAAATTTGAATTTTGGTTTGGAATTGTGTTTGAATCATTTGATGAAAGTTAAGGAATACCCCACGAACATCAGTTTTTTCTTTCAATAGATAAACCCAACAAACCTTAGTATGATCATCTATAAATGTGACAAACCATTTGGTGTGAGTTCTGTTAAGAATTCGTGAAGGGCCCCATAGATCACTATGAATCATAGTATATGGTTTTGATGGTTTATAGGTGGATTTCGAGAAGGTAGGGCGTTGGTGTTTAAAGTTCACATATGTCACACTGAAAGTCAATTTATTTTTTATTAGAAAAAATGAAAGGAAATACATGTCTTAAATATTGAATATTCGGGTGGCCCATTCTTTAGTGCCATAATAGAATATCACTATCTCTAGAGACAAACATAGGATCATAAATAGCAATTTGACATTGTTTACTCACATCAGCCTCTCCAAAGTAATAAAGTCCCTCATATTCTTTAACATTGTCAATCGTCTTCCCCGATGATAAGTCCTGAAAGACACAATGGGATTGAAAAAATATAGCAAAACAATTTGAATCTTTAATTAATTGACTAACAGATAATAGATTACATGACAAGTTTGGGACATGAAAGACAGATTTAGGGTTATGAATTCAGAGTTACGTATACTCCCTTTTCAAGCAACAGATGAGATTGGACCGTCCGCGATCGTAACTTTGATATTGCCAGCACATGGTGAGTATGAGGAGAAAAGATAATAAGAATTCGTCATGTGATCGGAAGCACCTGAGTTAATGATCCAAGGAGTTATATTTTGAGGAGATATTTAAGGCTTTCAGAAAACTACCTTTGTGGGCTAATGAACTTGAAGGACTGTGTGGGGAAGATCGACTCGATGTTTGATGGTTGGAGAAGATGTGATAGAGTTGTTCCAATTGTTCACTGTTGAATGCACCACCTTCTGTTTCTTTGGAGGTTCCCGCCTATTCGGCCGAGACTTGATAGCCACGATTTTTAGTATTTTGTCTCGGTTTCCAATCTTTGGGCTTCCCATGTATATCCCAACAAGTGTCTTCTTTGTGTCCAGATTTTCGACAGGGGTCGCACCACAATCGCCCTTTTTTCTTTTGGGCCGACCCATTTGTAACTTCTTTTAACAAAGCTGCCATTTCGTTCCCAAGTTCGCTGGGCCCAAATTTTGAAAGCCCACTATTTCCAAAATTAGTAAGTCCAACTTTAGGCCCAAAATTAGAAATATTAGGCGCATTCTTTCTTCCCCAACCCGATTCCAGTCATATAAGAAGAATTTGGCCTAAAATTTGGTGGCCCAATTTTATTCCCAGTTGACCCAGAGCCTGAAGATAGAAGAGCCGACATCTCCGCTTCGCCAACTGCCCCGATCGTCTCCATCTTCATCATTACATGTCGACGGTTCTCCTCCCTTCTCACCTTCGCAAATACCTCTCGCGATGTGGGAAGTGGTCGCCAACTTAGGATTCGGCCTCTAACATCGTCAAGCTTGCGATTGAAACCAGCGAGAAACTCATACACACGTTCGTTTTCAAGCCTTTTTTTGTACTTAACACTGTCACCGGAGCATTCCCAATCTTCTTCGCTACTGAGGTCCAGTTCTTGCCAGTTGGACATCATCTCTAAGTAATAATCAGTGACGTTTCTTCCTCCCTGTTCAGTCTACCATAGTCGGGTTCTTATTTCAAAAATTTGAGATGAATTTTCGGAGGCTGAATACATCTCTTTGACAGCGTCCTACACGTCCTTCGTAGTCGGTAGGAAAAGATACGTTTTCCCAATTGACAGCACCATGGAATTGACCAGCCACGCTGTAACCATGGAATTTTCGAATTTCCATTTTTGCAATAGAACTGCACCAGTCGGTCTTTTTGTTTCGCCTGTCAGGTAACCTAGTTCTCCTTTGCCATCGATTACCAATTTTATTGATTTAGCCCATTTCCTAAAGTTTTTCCCATTCAATTTCTCCACTGTGAATTGAAAGGAAGCATTATCTACACCGGTCGAGGCCATCATGGAATTAACTTCTGCCTCGTTCTGTGAGGATTCAGAAGTCATGGAGCCTAGACTGTTGACGGGGACTTCTGTCTTTAAGTTTGGGCTGGCTCTGATACCACGAAAGCTGACAGTAAAAAATTATTTTCTGTATATCTTATTCTTCAAATAACTTTCCATCCAATTTATGATACAACCGTGCGGAAAAAAGAAGGAAAGAAATCTCCTAAATTGGGAGAGAGTAAATTACCTATTTACAGGCTACTAACTATAGTAAATAAAATAAATTACAATCTTTTAGGATTTCTACAGAAAGGTAATTTATTGACACGTCCACTGAAACATCCATAGGTCACCCTACAACGTGGATCGCTGCAGCTCTTAATTCATCAACCAAAATGGCAATAGCGCCCAGAACTAACTTTCCATCCTTATTTTGCAGAATCAATCAAATTTCTATAAACATTACATAAAATCAATAATCCCATTTCAATCATTCATCCACTTCCCAATTCTATTCTGCAAAATCATATCAGATTTTGAAAAGCACTGCCTAGAAATTAGAATCTGTGTTTTTATTGTTGGTGCATATGTGTGTGAATTGCATATTGTAAGTTGAATAACCTAAACAAAACAAAATAAAGTAGAACTTACTTGAACTTACAAACAAGATGTAGAAAATGACGAATAGAACAATGGTATTGTAAATCAAGGTCAGTTTTTAACACTATGTCTATAAGATGAATTTGCCCAGGCAAGGTGCTTATGGAGTCTTGACAATCGTCTCCCAAGATATAGTGGTTTCTCCTTACAGTAGCAGCACTTCAAAGTTCAAGTTATCAATGAACTCGATATGGTTTTTACTCTCTACTTTGAATGATTTTCAATGCAAGAAGACCAAGAATTTTGGAGTATGTTGATGCAATGGAATCAAAGCATATGATATGGAATGAATTTTGACCATAACCTATAGAGGTTGAGGAGTTGTGATCGAAGAGACACCCCAAAATGCAACATGTTTCATAAAGAGACAGCCTTTCAGATTGCATGCTAACCGCCTACCTCACCGCTTGAGCGAAAATTCCAAAGACTTGGCCGTGCGAGCTAGCCGCTCGAGCGGTCGTTTTATATGGCCTATTTTTCCATTTTTACTTGACTTTAAACATCAATATCTCATTCATCCAGAATAGGTTTTGTGATTCCAAATATACCACGATCATCTACTCAATGAATAATACAAGTTAATTTATTCATAAGCGCAAATTAACTATTGGAACCTGTCCAAATACATGGTCGAAGTTGATACAAAATCAATGTTTATTAAAACCAATTTCCAACATTTATTTCATCAGCTAAATTCCCAGTCCTGTTCTGCATGATCATATCAAATTTCGAAAAATGAAAAACTATACAAAATCAGTGTTTTTACTTCATTAGCTAAGCTCCATTCCTATACGGTAAATCAAATCAAATTTCAATAAACATTGCCTATAATCATTATTTTTGTTTCAGCAGCTCAGTTTCCAGTCCTATTTTTCATAACCAAATTGGCTTTCGAGTAAAAAACTTACAGAATAAGTATTTTTTATTTAATCGTCTAACTTCCATTCCTATTCAGCAAATCAAATCAAGTTTCAATAAACTTTACCCCCCTTTTCATTTTGCAAATTAAAATACAATCAAGTCAAACACAATATGTGGGGATTTACTGTCTTACAGTAAGGTGATGGGGCACTTCGAAAGAGAGTGACGGAACCCGGTTGGGCTCGGTCGACTTGGATGCATCTAAGGATTAAATACTCGTAGAATGAACTTGGAACACTTAAGTTATACATCTTTCTCTTTATTGCCATTAACAATGATTAAATAAAAATGAAATTGGTTATCTCACTTTCCAAAACTTAATGGTTTTGTCATTAGGGGACAAAAGAAAAAAGGCACCATTAAGTACCAAAAATTAACACACAACTAAACTTGCTTCTAATAAATGGTTCCTCATAAGAAACTTTTAAAAAAAAAAAACAGTTCGAGGCATACATTATTAATAAAATTTCCATCAAAATAAAAGAAAAGAAGAACGAGAAAACAAACACAAAATAGACAGCTCCAGCCATCACGAAACATGGCTTTGACCCTCCAGCCTCAGCCGCACCATCACCTCGACCAACATCATTTTCATGAATCCCACCATAGCAAATACAAGTGATGTGGTGAATTACATGCGAACTAAATTCATCTTGTCATGAAATATGAAGCATAGTAAAATTTCTCCAATACCAGTAAGGATTTTTGTTGTATCTATAGTAACTGAGAGTCCATAATGATTAATATGAGTAGGGAAAGGGCTTTGAGGAGTCACCATTTACAAGAACCCATAATTTCTCAAAAGTAACTTCAAAAGCCAGATGCAGGTGAGATGCCTAACCCCCAAACAGCCATTGCCCTCAACATTAGTGTACAATGTCACCTAAAATGTGAACATATAAAAGTGCAGTTCCGGTGATCTCTTAAATAACAACCAGAGATTAGAGGCTTGGTGTACACCAAAAAAATAATTAATAGCACAAAAATATAAAAGTATATAATAGATACCAACCAATTTGTTAGCCAGCCTTGCAAGTGAATCCTTGGAATTAATTTCAAGGTAACTCTCTGTCACAAACTATCAACATCCACAACCTTACAACAGAGTAATAGGGCGTCAATAGGAAAGCTGAAAGAGAACATCACAACGACAAAGATAATAAAATGGGAAGGGGACAAAAATGAAGAAATAATTACCTTTGCAATATCCTCTTTATAAGTTCCAATCTTCATTCTAACTCAAGTATCTCTGGAAACATCAATAGCTTTGCTCTCAAGTGAAGACCATCAGTCATCTCCTCGATTGGAACAAGCATTACTTTACTGGGATACATATTACCCATAACCTTGACAGCCTGAAGCAAAATCAATGGAGATAATTCATTACATTTTGTCAAATCACTCAATAACCTTAATCTTCTACAAAATACATTAGCATTCAAAGAATCCAAGCATCCATTGGCTGATAATTCAAGGGTAAATGATAGGACAGTCACATGCACAACTTTCATGCCCACTAAAATCATCATGATTGGAAAGAATAAGAGAGTTTTTGAAAAGCAGAAGAAACAGAGATTTCATATTGCTTTCATGTAAGCAAAACAGGACACTGAAAAAGGGGAACATACTTCATAATGACTGATTACAACAGAAAATCTAGCATTACATGTCAGCACTTGAGTTAGAAGAAGTCAAAGAAAAACAAGAGATTCTCACTCCCTCATTTACGTACATAAAGCAGTCTAAAAATTTCCCAGGAAAAAAAGCACAAGGAACTCCCTAATTACTGTCAAAAACTCAAGCATCAACATTAAATGGAAAAAGAGGGGAAAAAACAGAACGCTAGAAAACCAGGTTAGAAGGATAAAAATAAAAATAAAAATAAAAATGAGGTTTTACCGCAAAACATCCATCTCTTAAGTTCAGTCCCTGCGGATCTTTGCTATGAGTTTGTTGTTTCTGTTGCCACCACCATTGCTAACGCCGCCACCGCTGCCGCTGCTGCTATCTTTCTTCTGTCGCAAAGAAAATAAGTCAAAAATAAAAAATCTAGAGAGCAAGATCCTGCGCATTGAGTAATCAAGGTGTCAAATCCTCTATTACTTCATCCATTTTTTTATTTTATTTTTTATTTTTTGACATATCAATTAGTGACTAAATGCAAGTGGCCTATACTTTCTGCTAAAGAATTATTTTAGTTTCTATTTCAACTAAATCATTGGAATGCACTCTCAAGTCTTGTCTAAAACTTTTTTTACAGGAAAAGAAAAATAGGCCTCAGGTTCAAATCCTAATGATGCATCATATGATAAAGTCTAACACGTAACCAGTATTCTAGTACAGTAGTAGCTAGATGGATTGAATTTTGCATCAACAGCAATCCTAACACAAAAATAACGGAAATAAGTAAATGAAGGGAAAAATGGCAACAACTTACCACTCAATGAGCATAGCAAATGTAAGCTTAAAAAGTGTAATCATAGAGTAGAGAACCCAATAGGTAAGTTTAAGTTTTAAGAATAAAACTTCATTTTATTTCCTTGATTGAAAGAGTAGTACATGCACGTATATATAGAAAATGAATTCTATAGAAATCTTAACCATCCTAGAAAATAGAAACAACTTAAGAGTCTAACAATAAGATATCTTTCAGATATCTCTCATATTAACAAAATATAAGAGATAAGATCAGATATCTATCAGATTTATTCAAATTCAAATAAACTTATCCTAACTTTTTGACAGTAAGTCATTGTTGATCATCAATGGGCGATTTCATTTCAATTGCCATAATAGATGCATATCTGCCCAAAAAATTAAAACACCACGGCCATAAACTGAAAATTATTCTCAAACAGTAAGGTCAGAATCAAGTATGTACTCATCTTTATGTGCAAGAAGTACGAAAAAATTAACTTCTTGACCTACTTTAATACCGTGATTCCATCCAATAGACCATACCAACCATGCTATCATATAGTACTTAAATTTGGTTTAGTGCAAGAAGAAGCCCTACTTACAGAGGATAAACCAGACTAACTACATACCTGCAACATACAATACATGAAACAAGTTCAGTTAAAGCACATAAAAAACAAATAATTAGCACCTATTTCACCAAACAATCAAGAAACCATCGAGATTTTCCCCGCAAATCAATTTATAATCACTTTCACATTTAAGAATAAATCCTAAATAAAGAACCTGAATCATCAATCACACAGTATCATTCACATCACACATATTCTTGCATCAAGTCTATGCAAAATTATGGTATAACTTAAGCAAAATTACTCGAGAAGAGGAAAAAAGAGAAAACACGGAAAGAGTGTCAAAATTGTAGACCAAAGCCTTTTCTTCCCACACTTTTTCACATAATTCTTCTTAAATCTCTTGGCCTTTGCCTCTAATTCCGAAACGGTATAATTCTCCCCATTCTAGCATACAGTTTTTTGCATTGGTCGATGCTTTCTCAGGCAGAATCCGATCTGCTGCTCCCTAGTGTGACAAAAGCCTACCTTGGAACGAACTCAGGGGCCTTAGCATCGACTTACTGCTAACAGAGGCAAGGTTGCTAAATCAGCTGGAAATGCGTTCGACGGAAAGGGAAAGGTAAGGGGAAAGGTTTACGTTTATGAAGCATTTACAAATGAACAATGCAATTAATTTTCTATCCAGACAAAGGCTTCTTCAATGAAAAAATAAATCACTCAACAGTTGTGGCTACCATGAACGGTAGAAACCGGATCACCAATATTGTCAAACCTAAGTGTGAAAACAAAGGTGCATAAATGAACAGTAAACCCACATCCCATCTTTTAAGAAAGTAGTTGACGAGCGTATTTTACTCACGAGTTTAAGCCAATTTTAACTTGATTGTAGAGCTAGATTTTGAGTATTGAATATTTTTCATGTGTTTGTTAATGTTGTTTTATAGGATTGTTGAGATGGTGAAAGACACGAAAAAGTTCTTCAAATAAAGCTATTAGCATGGATTGAAAAGAAATTATGGATAAAAGAGCAAAAGAGGCAAAGCAAAATGATTGAAATGGTGGCGCTGTAGCGCCACGAAAGGAAGAAAAGCAGAGTTGTGGTACCGCGGCGCCACAGAAGAGAAAGGGAAACAAAGCCTTGCGCCGCAGCACCAAGAAGATACAGAGAGGGGCACGCCGCACACAAGGCGCCACGACACTGTCGTTTTGATACAACTAGGACACGTTTGGCCCACTTTAAAGTCCAGATGAAAACCCTACTTTCCACACACGGGGAGGCACCTATAAATACAATGTTTTCACACTTTTGAAGGAGTTAATTGTTCCAATGGTCACTGAACTTAGGTCCATGTCTTTGATTGGTCACTGAAGTTTAAAATGTCAAGTTTTGATCACTGAACTTAGGTCAATATCTTCGATTGCTCACTGAACTTGGGTCCATGTCTTAAATTGCTCACTGAAATTTAAAATGTCGAGTTTTGGTCACTAAGCTTTAGAATATGTTGAACGTTACTCACTAGCATAACTATTGAACTTTGAAAAATATCGAGTTTACAGTAAGTAATGTAAAGCATTTTTCAAAGTTGAGTGAGTAATGTTTCAGTGAGTAATATACAACATTTTTCAAAGTTCGAAGGCCAAACTCGACATTTTAAATTTCAGTGACCAATCAAAGGCAATGACCTAAATTTAGTGACCATTGGAACAATTAACTCCTTTTGAAAGGATTCCACACACTGAGGGCAAGAAACACACTTTGAGATCAAAGAAAAGTAATTCAAGGAGGAAAACAATAAGCAATTCAACGTTTGAAGTATTGATTGAAAGTGGAAGATCTTAGTGCAAGATTGATATCTTTTCTTCTACATATTTACTACAAATCTGGTGATGCACTCAATTACTATCTATTATTTTTCCTCTTTCATTATGAATAGTTAAATCTCTTGTTGGGGCGAATAATGTAACCCAATAGGGACCTTTTACATCTTTTATTAAAAATTCTTGTTTTTTATTCATTTATATGTTGATTTTACTATGAGTTTAATGCATTAAATTACTTAATCATTGATTTGATGATTTTGTTAATCTTCTACGAATTGAGAGGTGAGTTTAGGATTTAGACCATATAGTGAAATTCGATAAATTGGTATAATGTGTAGAGATACCTATATTGATTATTGCGATCATAAGTGAATTCTAGGAACTACAATTTCATTCAACTAAGCTTGATTCGCATAGAGATATGGAATTGAATTAGTTAAATAGGCTCAATAAGAACTCGAAAATGGTAAATTGAATAAAATAGGAGGATCCGACCAAACACTACATTAGATATGAATCTTAATTTAAGGTGTAAATGTGATCAATAGGTGAAATTATTTGGCCCTAATATTTGTTCATCATTTAATCTCTAAACCAATCTTTATGTGTATCCACATAATTTTACGCATTTAAATTAAAAATCAAAACATACAAATCTTTATTTGCTTTTGTCGAATAGCAGTTAGAAAGAAATTCAATCAAGCTCTAAAGTATAGTCCTTGTAAAAACGACAATCCAGACTTACAAGTCCATTATATTACTTGTTCGATATCGTACACTTGTGATAGTAAAAACGCGGCAGTGGCAATAGTAATGAATGAGTTCAAGAGTTGAGGAGAATATCAAGTTTGGAGGAGAAAAGAAATTTATGAAAAAAATGAAAAAAGGAAAAAGCAAAATCTCTTGAAGGGACAGAATATTCAATTTTTGAAAGAATAATATGTTAACAACATAACGAAATGTGAATTGTTCGCATCAAAAGTCTTACAGATTGAAGTTTCATGTATTATCCACACTTAGAATAATTAGATCAACTTGGTCAGTTAAGTAGAACTCATGGCTAAATTGTCATACAATTAAAAGAAAAAGGGTAAGATAATCACCATAAACGTTCGAGAACAGCGAGATCTAGAAAGATGAGAATTGAATATTGTAATAAGTAGAACTAAGAATTTCCTGGGAATATATTAAGTCATTAAAAATAAAGTATTTTAAAGAAATAAGCACACACGTTTAGACAACCAAAAGCATGGAGAGAGGTATGCCTCATGAGGAAAACAACAATAATTCAGGATTGATTTCATTACCGCAGCACCAGAAGGAAATGGCATCACCACGGACCATTGCTTTTCTCAATCAAGAAATGGCAGTCTATGAGTCACCAATAATCCCCACAGGAGCAAATTCCATCTTTGAAATGATGAAAGCGGTTAGAATCTCGCACAATGATCTCTCTCTCCATAATCTTTGAAATGAATTTTGTCACATTGTGGCAATCACCGCATACTCGCAAATTCTTATATATTCGAAGGGGCATTCTAGGAGGAGTATTCAAAATTCCATACATAATAGCCAATCTCTCACTGTGACTTGTCAGGATATTCTCTTTTTCGTCATCCTCGACATCCTGCAATACAAAGTTATAATCCGGAGTGTAACCAAGGCTCTTCATTTTGGCATTTAAAATTGCCAACTCCTTGTATATTTCTTTATGCTGCGGATGTGTTTGATTGCCTGTATAAAAGACTTCTATTCTATTGTGTAGGTCTATCGAGCTCCAACCAGGAGTTTTCCTCAGCCCCCTGTCCCTAGCTAGTGATCTCACTTCATCCACCCTCTCCCATCTCCCAAAATTTGCATAAAGATTTGACATCAAAACATAGTATCCAACATTTTCTGAATCAACTTCAAACAACCGATCAGAGGCCTTTTTACCCAACTCAACATTTCCATGGGTTCTACAAGCACCAAGAAGAGCTCCCCATACAGAAGCATCAGGTCTCAATGGCATACGCTCAATGAAATTATAAGCCACATCCAATTGACCGGCCCTACCAAACATGTCCACCATGCACCCATAGTGCTTCAAAGTTGGTTTCATCCCATACTTGTGCTGCATCATATCAAAACACCATTTCCCCTGATCAACCAAACCAGAATGGCTACAAGCACTCAATAATGACAAAAAGGTCACATGATCAGGCTTCACCCCTTCATCCAACATATCTTTAAAAAGCTGCATACAAGTCTCGCCATGTCCATGGAGTCCATGACATGATATTATGGCATTCCAAGGAACAGGACTTTCCCTAGGCACCTCATAGAACATAAACGTTGCATCCCCCAGTCTTCCACATTTTCCATACAAATCAATGAGGCAGGTACCCAGGAAGACATCCGTGTCAATACCCACCTTTAACACCTGCCCATGAATTCTCATCCCGTCTCTCAAGGCCCCAATATGAGCATAAGCGGGTAGAATGCTAACCCATGTCCCTTGGTAAGGAGTAAAGTCCTCACACTCTTTCATCATGTGGTACACTTCAATGGCCTCATCTGCGAGACCATTTTGAGCATAACCTGTTATCATTGTGTTCCATGAAATTGTATCTTTGCAAGGAAGTTCTTCAAAAACCCTGCGCGCAGAATCAAGAGCACCTATTTTAGCATACATATCAACAACTGCATTACCAATTACAGCGTCTTCCATTATCCAACACCTTCTAATACTGAATCCATGAATGGATTTGCCAGACAATGAGTCCCTGGTTTGAGCTATACTGGAAGCTAAACTGACCAGTGTCAATAGATCAGGCTGAAACTTATTTCCCAGCATCTCGTAAAAGAACTTCAGCGCATCATGTGGGCAATCATTTTGCTCATATGCAGCAATTATTGAATTCCACGACACCAAATCTCTTATTACCATCTGATCAAAGATCCTCTGAGCGCATTCCAATTTACCCAATTTGGCATAAATATTAATGAAGGCATTGGAAACAAACACATCAAACTCTAATCCATGTTTTATGACATACAAATGGATCAACATCCCACGTAATATATCATGCTTCTGTGCACAAATTGGAAGAATACTGGAAATAGTCACGGCATCCATATCTACACCCTCCAATCTCATGTCATCCAGGACACTCAAAGCCTCGTTAGCATTCCCATTTTGACAAAACCCAGAAATCACAGCATTCCAACAACCCATATCACGGGATGGCATGTCCTTGAAAAGTTTATGTGCGACATCAAAAGAGCCAAAACGGCAGTACATATGCACCAAAGAAGAAGCTACAAACACATCCCATTGAAAACCCATTTTGAAAACCCAGCAATGAAGTCTAGTTCCATCATGTACAGTACGACAAGCTTTCAGCACAGGTGGAAAAGTATAAAAATCAGGCTGAACATCAGAGGTTGACAACATTTCATTCACACAATTCACTGCTTCACGGTAACAGCCGTTCCGGACATAGGATGATACCATCGAATTCCAAGTATAGGCATCTTTTCTCGGTACTTGATCAAAAGCTTCTCGAGACAATGTAACATCACCAAGATAGGCATAGATATTAACAAGCCTGGTGGCAATAAAAATACTCTGGACCTTCCCTGACACGATGAGAAGGGAGTGTAGGCATTTGGTAGTACCAATTTTAGTGCATTTATTGAATAAATGCTCAAAGTCAAACTTGCTGTTTCTTTGCTCAATGCCATCTGAAAAAGCCACTACGCAGCTCGCACCATTGGAATTTAACCGGAAATGAGTCAAGAAGGTCAGCAGAGACTTCGAAAAAGGGCTGCTTTTGCATGTTGGCAGCAATCTGAGCGCACAAAATTATTAAAATTTGTAACCAAATATAATAAGTAAGTATTTTATTGTAGGATAATACCAGACTGATAGATGGAAATGCGTGGGTAGCTGAAACTAAAAGCACAGGTCTATTGTCCAGGCCTCAAATTTTGAACCAAATAAACAACATCAAAAATGACAAAGGGAAAATTACCTTAATTGCGACCTAAATTGTAGATGAATTAAAAAATTCAAAGATAGCCTCAAATTCAAGTGTTTATTTTTTCCAACGCGTGCAAGAGAATATACGTATCTCACAATGTTCGAAAGTTAAACGTTCAACCCTATTCTAATAATCGCCCTTTTCTAATAATCGCCTGACAGTAAACTTTTAATTACGTACAAGAGTATTCCACTTATGTGTCTTAACTTTAAGTGCAAGTTTCTGTCAAAACCCATCGACTAGTATAACAATGCCATTGTTGTATATGTTTTACAATTACGTACACACAACTGACAACTGGTGAAGCCAAACTTCTTTAGCACAAATCCTTGTACTTTCATTTGAAGTTGCCAACGGAAACTAAAGATATACACCGTCTCAAAAAGACAATACAAAATTATAAAAATTCTCTTGAGGAAGAGACGCAAACTTACACCCTCATTTTGTCCCATCGTTTTGGGTAATCAATTTGGGGAACAAGAATTCATCTTTCTTCTACAAGAACTCTGATTTGGGTTTCTCTATGCTTTCTGTATATACATGTTACTGTACATATAAATATTGGACGTGGGGTTTTGAAGGGGGTTGAGGATGGTGGTTGCTGTGTGTGAACCAGTTTGGGGTTTTGGACTGGCGATGGAGATTTTGGGGAAGATAGAGTTTATTGTTGCAATGGACTCCCTAGAGTTTAAAATATCGAATTTTGATCATTGAATTTAGATTCATATTTTCGATTGCTCAATAAAATTTAAAATATATTATATATTACTCGCTGAAATTTGAAAAATATTATACATTACTTACTGAACTTTAAAAAATACTGTACATTATTCATTGTAAACTCGACATTTTTTAAAATTCAACAATTACACTAGTGAATAACGTACGGTATATTTCAAAGTTTAATGACTAAAACTCAAAATTTTAAATTTTAGTGAACAATTTAAAACGTGAACTTAAGTTCATTGAGCAATTAAAGACATTGACCTAAGTTTAGCGACTAAAACTTATCTTTTTAGATTTTAGAGACAAATCAAAGATATAAACCACCATTGGAACAATTAACTCAAACTAGATAAAAGAGTTTGTTCAAGGCCTTGCTTAGTGGCCATTCTTAAGGGGGGGAAAACATGGAGGAGTTTTGAATAGTATTTTAGGAGAATGTATTGTTAAAAAAGTTGGGAAAAAGATTTTAAATTTATGTGTAGAATATTTTATTATGTGAATGGTTGAAAATGATCAAAGAGCTTAAAAAAAAAAAATTCAAACAGGGCTTAATAGTAGAAAATTCCCCTAAATACTTGAAAATGTGCAATATACCTATACCTACATATTAAAAATCACAGGAAACGTCCCTATTTGAAACCTTTAGTTTGAAATACAACCTTTGAAGTGCGAAAAGCCCACGTATGAACTCTTTGTGCGCTCATCCCCTTAGTGTCCAGTGTCCAATTCCGCTAGTTTAGTAGTTAAAAACAATAAAAAATTGTCCAAAATAAAAAAGGAATAGTTGCAATTGTGATCCCAAGCTTTTTACTTTTTTTCTTTTCTTTTTTCGTTCTTTTTTTTCTTTTTACAAATTATACTTAAACTTTTTATATGTGCTACTCACAATCCTAAATGTTTGAAATTTTATTTTCTCTCCCATTAAAATTTTATATTACTTCACATAAATAATTAAAATAAAAAACCCAAAACAAAATACAAAAATCCACACGCTCCCCCACCCATGAAAATTCGCCTTGACCGCCAGCATCACCACTACCGTCAACATCATCTAGGGTGGCAAAGACCAATTTTTGAAATCGAACAAAACTATGGGGATTATTAATTGTTGAACAGTGGGGTAAATTGTGAAGTCGAAATAACAGTTCAAAATTGGAGAAATTGGATTGAAAATTGGAGACGGAATAATTATCATCCATCTTTACATTTCAGAATATGAAATTTTGTGCTAACGGTATTCCTTCATTTTTTGAGAGGATTATTAAATATTCATACGATAAATATAATATGTGAAAGAAATGACTAATTTAAATGAAACGCCCAATTGGTGGAAAATGTGAAATTTGTGTGGGAGGTCAAGAGGTTCGGATCACATCCCATGTAATAATTAAAAAAGTTTTTGATTAGGCATTGGGGCTGTGATTAAAATGATTTTTTTTTTATTTTAACCATTTTCGAAATTATGTAATGAGCTAAACTAATCGGTATAATATGACCGTTTTCAACAACCTATTACCCACAACCCATCAAATATTACAAATATTTCTCGATCATAGTGGAAACAGATATATTCATTCCGTCGAGTTAATTGTTTCAAAAATCACTCAACTTGTAGCATGATCACGAATTGCTTACTGAATATTAGAGACTGTTTTATAGAATTTATTTGAAAATATTAAGTTATTAAATAGCATTTTTTTAAAAATATGTGGTTAAAATAAGGAAATTTTACTGGTTTGTGTATAAAATATTTTATTGTGTGAATGTGTGGTGAAAAATGATCCTATAACAAACAATTTAAATTCTTAAACGATGACAAACAAGGGCTTAATATGATTCACTATGCTCACTGAACTTCTTCGGTTTGCCCTCTATCCATCAACAAAAAAATATGTTATCATTTTTGTTGATATGATATACAGAAATTTGATGTGGCAATTCACGAGCTGTAAAAAATGGGATAACTTTGAGAATGGCTGGAGAATTCTTCCTTTTTTCCACAATAGCCTTTCTTATGAAGTTGCTATTTTGCCCTTAATGAAATTATTTGCAAGATCTATCTTATATCTTTAAAGATTTATCAATCAGACCATATATCTATATTTTTTAATCTTTTGAACACCTTTAAATATTCTCTATATGTTAATAATTTTTTAAAGATTATAGGTTGACCTTTCTTGGTTATGTATCCTTTAAATAATCCTTCTGAAATTTGTTCTTGTATATTTATATGTTTAGTTATGATATCTTCCACTTTTCTTATTTCTCTACTAGTTCCTACAGGATCAAATCCTATATTATTTCTACAATTATAATCTATATCTTTATATATTTTTTCAATTTTTTCTTTACCAATAGGAAATATATTATCAGATTTTTTATCTAATTTAAGTAAAAACGAAACATCTTTTTCATCTAAAAATAAAATAAGATTATTATCATCATTAGTAGTGGAAGTAGATGCATATGAATTATTCATCAAAATAATTAAAACATAAGCATGTAGGAATAAGTAGATAACTTACAGTAATCAAATGGAAATAAACAGGCTTTCCCTCCAGTATGCTCTTATAGATGTTTTGCATGTACTTAATCAATCTTCTGAATCAAGTAAAGATTTAAAATGTTTTTGAAATCATTTGGGTCCACAACTGCTTCCGCAAAAAGTTTTTCAATTAAGGTTGGACTTCTCATTCTAAAGAACTAGCCATGTTTCCACAAACGCTATCTCACAGTATCCAGAGTCTCTGTTTTCACCTCTATCCAAACTCTTTTCAGAATCAAGTTCCTACTAGGAACGAAATTTTAAAAGATAACTCACACACAAGGTACTACAAATTTTGTTAGAAAACTACCTTTTTCCCCTAAACCATTTATCAAAGACGGGTACTTTGGCATGGCTAACATCCATTCAAAATCAGAATTTTGAAAATCTTTTAAAATCTCTATCTGTACTGTCGAGGAATCATGAGAAATTTAACGAAATCCTTTTATAAAAGCTTTGTTGAACATAACAAACTTTACTTTGATATTCATAAACTGAAATTGTACATGCTTACAAAATATATTTACATACTTTTGGTACTCGCCTTATGAAGTTTAGAACTCCATAAGGGATTACCTTATTACACGCTTTCCTATCTTCAAGCTATATAATATTTTTCTGAATACAAGTGGTGTATATAGATTACAAAAGATTTCTCTCAAATGTGTTTAAGAGATAAGCTATTTCGAGATATCTTTTTCCTTCCTTCATGCCCCCTTTTATAGGAGATTTTGGAATCTTATCTTGGACAGGTGTGTTTCCACCTTTCTTTGTTAGGTAGCTAGACCATCTTATCTTCACCGAATTTTTCATTGTCTTCTTGTTGAGTGGACCTGAAATTAAATGCCTTATCTTTTGAGTTTGTCTGCCACTTGTAACTATTGGTGGGGAATAGTTACAATTATAGAGACCTTTTTTGTATTATCTTCTGTCTTTTAGTAGCCACAGTTTTTTTTTAATAAATTTCTTTATTAAAGTAGTGATAAAAGGCTACTTTAGTCACCATCACTTCTCCATTTTTGAATCAAAGAATTCTGCAGGGAATTCTTCATCATTAAGGGATGCTTGACTCATATCTTCAACTACACAGTATTCACAATGGTGATCACTGTAATTCCAAAGTAATTTGCATAATTCTTTAGCCATGTCCTCTGATCCATGCACTTGATTGGATATAATTGCAGATAATAAATGATCGAGATAACAAATATCTTCTTCTTTGGTATCCATTCTTACATTGGAATAGATAATATGATTTTCAGATGGATAAACCCATATTTTTTCTTTCTCAGTAATTATCTGAGTTACATATTCAAATATCTCTTTATACCCGTTTGCTCGTCTATAGGGCATCATATTTAGAATATCTTGATATCCATTTTTAACGACCTTTTGATTGGTTGGTAAAAAATGTTGATTTGTGATTCCCATTTTGATCACATGGAAAGATGGATGCATATATTCAAGGATAGGATCCCACTCCATGGTTGCTGAATGGAATCTGATATATATATTTGTTGTTTTAACAATTTCAGTATATCTTTTAACAGCTTTCCTGATGTTGGCTGGAAGTTGAGCTATCTCTTTGAGATCTTTGCTAGGATATATACAGAGTATATTTCCTATCTCAAAGCAATTTCTCACCCAGTTGGCTGGTGCTTCTGGATAAAAATTTATCTTGTTGTATTTTGAATAGTGGAGAGTCTTCATCCACTTTCCAATCTCCAGATACCAATCTGATAAAATATTAAAAATAACAATAAAGAGTGTTACTTCTTCATGATTATCTTTTCTGGGAAATTTTGTTTCATGGCATATCTTGACAATATCTTTTGGATCTATCCTTTCAATAGAAAGTTTAGATTGAGTTTGGCTCTGTGAAGAGCTACCTTCTCTTTTGATATCTTGGATATCTTTATTACCAGTAATAAGTTTGAGTATTCCCTGTGAAGGGGTTCCTATTACCTTCTTTTCTTTTCCTTTATCCTCGGGGAGAGCGCTGTATTCACAAGTCCCTGCGAAGGAATACTAGTCTTGGTACAAGTAATTTCTGCCTCAAGGACTATATTTTTGCCTCGAAGGCTATCTTGGATATTTTGAATTTGGGTTTCCAAATAGGAAACTTTTATCTCAAGTATTTGGACTTTCGTCTTTAGATGTTCTAGCTCCATCCCTGCTAAGATAATCAGGAAGAAAGTTAGCTTCTCCTTTAATATATTCAATATCAAATTCGAAATATGAAAACCAAATTTGTATTCTAATAATATATCTATTTGTAGTAGATAGATCAACATTATTTTTTAAAAATGCTTTAACTTGAGTATTGTCAGTTCTAATCAAGAACTTATTTGGTAGTAAATAATCTTCATATT